GAGTGGCCGACGAAGGCCCCTGCGCCCGTATAAGAGTTTGCCGCCCCCGCCCGCACCCGCTCCCGAAAGCGCATTGTACGCGCATGTTCTTTTTTTCTTTCAACATGCCGCTGCAATTTTTCGCAATTGTGAGAATGGCGATCGAAATGAATGATTAAATGTCTAACATGACAACCAGATAGTCTTATCGCGAAGTGGAATCGAGGTTGCAATTTTCGAATGCATGCTTACGAATGCAAGAATATTGATGCTAAACAAGAGTTGTCAAGAGTAAAAAAAGGGCTTTGTCTTTATCGTTCGGTCTGTTGGGCATGAACTGATAGGGGGCCGTTTGATGATGCTTATCGTATCAGGTGCATCAGTTCACGAAATCTAGGGTTCTCTGAGACAAACATTATTATTTCGTTTGTGATACATTATAATTTGTTTTCCCCGAACAGTAGTGTACAATGATGCTAAAGGAATAAAAAAAATATCTTCGGATTTTGGCTGGTCCTCTCTCACACCCGTCTCAACTAATTATATTACAATATACGGTTCTTGAATTTGAATATTGCTTCAAGACAGAGCGACGAGAAATGTTTCAACAAGTTTGTTCTTGAGTTTTCTCATTTAGTATTTAAAAAAAAATTGCACACCACATAGGATGCAAAATGGGTTTATCGTAGAAATCAGAAAGTTTGGTTTGATAAATATTAAATCATACTCAATGACTAAGAAATATTTAGGAGGAAAGTATCTTCATCAGTACTTTGCATTATTCTAAAAAAATAAATAAAATATTTGGAGCTAGAAGAAAAAAACGAACATTTTGAGGCTTCGTAAAATGTATCCTGAAAAATAAAGTACGTGTTTCAAATCAAAGAGCCATTATTTCATCAGCAAGATCGATCAGGAAAGATAAATTTTTCGTGAAAAGGCCTGTGAACGGTTTAGCCGATAGCGTCGTTCACATACACAGGAGAACGTTTTGCCATAAATCAATTTTTCGGTAACAAAGACCTACAAAAATTACACAATGCATTATATTACATAACATATTAGAGGAAGCGTAATTTATTACAGCATTAGATAACTTTCTCTCTATTACGTAAGAGAATGCGAGAAAGTAAAATGCGGGGAAAAAAGGTTTTCTGTATTAACTGACTTAAATAAGAAATCAAGATATATATATATATATATATATATATATATATATATATAATTGATTTTGAATACCAGAAGAAGATAGCCTTAATACATTTTTTGCCCTATGCGAATGTGTAATCTGCGAGAGCCTTTGATTTTGTAATGAAATGATATTAGTCTTAAGAACTGATAGACTCCTTCTTGTAAAATAAACTAAAAAGTTTAACATACCATTGTGCAGCAGTGATGTTTAGAATAAATAAGTGTTTGGAGAATTGTTTAAAGAAAGGAGGTATACCGATTGCACGCGCGGACAATTTTCCTAAGCCTCCCCTCAAAGAAATAACCCGACTGCATCCTGTTCCATTTTCCTCTGAAGTGTCAGGTTTACCGTGGTCTGCTTATCATAATTTGATCGATTATAATTGATCAAGTACTGTGTGTTTTCAAGGAATATATTCACGTTCCTTTAGAACACTGCCTACGTTCCACAACTTAAAACTTTGAAAACTTGAAGACTATCCTATCCTATCACAGGCATATTTTGGCCCTCAGACTTAACATACGCAATTCCAAAAATTACGCCATTTTCACCTGAGTTCAATGTTCTCCCTGAATTGGTGCAAAACATCTGTTTGCGTTACTTATTAATGGAAACTTAACAAAACTCTTTCATCTTTCCGAAAAAGCGAAGGAACGAAATGGGCTGAGAGGGAATCTTGACCGCAAGATGTAGTCGGCGATTCCCTAGAGAAAAATTCCCACCTTTTATTGTTGGTAATTGGGCATATCACTCGTTTAAACTTTCAGTTTCTTTTATAGTAATAATTAACGGGATTTAACGATTTTATGAATGCATAATGTTTTATATCATGCTTCGCCTAAACACAGCAAATAATTGAACATTTGTGCTAAATTGCTTTGATGTATAAATTGGAATAGTATTGAGTGTACAATGGGTTGCTTTCTGTTTCAGATCTGCTTTTGGTCTGTAAATGTTATGAAACATTGGTGTTTAAATTTAAAGAAGTAGAAATTGATGTAGTTAGAGGCGAGAATTTCAGTGGCCTTCTGAACAAAACTACTGTCGTAACTGCCATTTTTGATCTTGGATTGAAGTGTGAAGCATTTCACGAAATAGATGAGCTCAGTGGGGCTTCACATCATAGACATATGGTTTGCCCACGAAAATTTAGACATGATATTTTTGAGTGTTGAAAATATGATCTAGATAGTTATTAAACCATAGCCAAAGAAGCAGCGATTTTTTTTTCATTGTTTGAAATAGCACCTCACAAAAATGAAAGATGTATCGACAAAAATCGTGTGAACCTGCCATATTTTTGTGAAAAATTTAACAAACAATTGAAAGAAAACTTCTTGGTGAACATAATCAAAAACTTACCTCTGTAACAAAAGTAATAGAGATGAAACAAAAGTAATAGAATGACTGATAGAATTTATGAAGACTATAAAATGAAAGAGCTTTCTACCAGATTTAAACGAAATGAAAGGCAATTCATTAGACGCTTCCGAGAACATCTGCAGCGCTTTTTCATTTTTATTGCCTGAAGAATCGATTTGTTCAGCATTAACAAATTCTATTTTCTCTATTTTTTCTTGGCTCCTTAGGTTCCTCCTGCTACTGGCACGTCCAGTATGGATTATCTGCGAACAGAGGAACCCTCACATATTTCAATGCGAGAGGAACCGGGAACCGATCCAAGAAATCTCAAAGAACTGTACTCAATAACACCGCCCGTTGCCATGGTAACCTTGCAGCCCCCAAACCCCTGGCCGGAGTCCAACGTCTGCCCCATGCCATTAATTCCATCGGCTGTGGGATAGGTGAATGCAAAGCGACAAGAGACCTCATTGGGCTGTCAGACGTTGACTGCGGTGACAAATGAATGACAGCAATATGTCCAACCTACGACGAGTTTACAGTTCATCATGTCAGTATGTGCTTTACAATATTTGCTTGCTCTGTCAGAGCAGAGATATTTAGAAAATGTAATAAAAATGAAGTGTAATTTTTCAAGTTCTTACAAGCGATTATTTGTTTATACAGAGATGAACATGGAGAAATTGGAGGTGAATGAATGTACGTTTCAGAATTTCGTTAAGACTTTTGCCTAATTCTATAATTATAATTTTATGCAACACCATATCCCAGTCAAGTTGTGTCAGAATTTCGACATTATCTTCCATTGTTAATTATAAAATAAAAGTAAATAAATAAAATTAATTTAAATTAATACAAAATAATGTTCTAGGTATACTTTAAATTAAATAATGTTTATACTAAAATATACTTGTTGGATTCACAACCACTCACAATGTTTATTACAAACGCCGCGGAACATAATTGCAAAAAATACTAAAGTGAATGAAATCGGATATGAACTTTGTGAACCACGAATTGAAAGAACATCTATTAAGTTGAATGCCGATCATTTTGAGACATTTGAATGCGGTAAATAACAACGTATCAATACTATGACACCTCTGTACCGACAACATACTTGTTAGTCTTCATAATGTGAAAAAATATAAACACATTTATCAGTATTTCAAAAAACTTGTAAATAACCATACCTATGAGTGTATCTAACCCGAAACCTAATGATCTCCACTTCTACAGTTTGTCTAGGAATTTGAAGTAATTTCGCGAGCAGAGTCGCATGCACGTTAGCTATCATGAACATGTTTGACCTACTTGTCATTCCATTTGACAGGAACATCTTGGTTGATGGTCTTGGTACTATATCAAGGTAGTGATGAACTTGCCACAAAAATTTATACACCCATAATTTTCATTTTTATTATATCTTAATTTTATTCAATTCTATATCATCACCATTTAAGATCTTGTATATAATAAACGTTTGAGAAAAATACGATTGCAAAATTTTGTTATTATGCATTAAAAGTCACTTTTTACTTAATAATAATAAATATTAATGTAAACGAAAAACCCCTATTTCTCACAGAAAATTAAAATACAGGTAAATTTTCAGAAATAATCTAGTACTAGAGATAAGGTGTATTTGATATTATAAATAACATCTGTAAAATTGTTTCACCGACTACATAAAATTCTCTGGCTGTAAGATAATAAATTACAAAATATTGCCAACATAAAATTCAAGAATGACGTCTCAGATTCCGCTTTGCCTTTCGTAAGTAAAGAAACGTCTGAGATCACATAATATGTAATAAGCATTTTCCTATATACAGCAGATTAACATTAATCCCAATCATTCTTATAGTTTTTCACAATTACTTGGTAATCAGGCTTTAAGACAGACTTGAATGTATAAACATACAAATTTTCAGAACAAAGTATGGTTTTAATTATAAAACATTGTCAGATCTTGAGGTAGTAATTTGGAGACATTTCGAGGAGATAACATTATTGGTCATTTTTATGAGGCTTGCAGAAAACATAATTAATAACATATTTATAAACATAATTATAAACAAATTTAACTTTTAGAGTATTCCTTACTGTAATTTTCTGTGATAATATTGAATGACGAAGTACACTACGATGTAATATCCCCGAAACGACGCGAAAAACGTCCTCAAGGTTTGGCAATGATTTGCAATTAAAACAACACTTTGTTCGGAAATGTGTTTTTTTCCACATTCAAGTCTGTCTTAAAGTCTGATGGCCAAGTGATAAAGTAACCACAACCCTTTGTGACAAACCCAATTAATGCTAGATACAACCACTAACTCGTCTGGAGAGTTTCCTGTCCTTGGTGTTGTTGTAGCGCAGCGCTTCACAAAAACATTTTTTAGGAGACAAACTTTGTGATTTTATCTCCAAATATAAATACCTCGTTCATTATTGTTCATTAAGTTTAATTGCAATTTTATTTATTACTTAATGTTAAGTACATCACATATATTTTTTTGGAACCAAAAAGGAAAAAAATCATGTTAATCAATACTCTAACGTACTGAGAACAATGTCATCAAACATCATGTTTGTAGCTGAGATAAATAAAAAAATCGAAGTATTGAAGAATTCAACTGATTTAGGTTTAATTGTTTTCCATCAATGTAGTTATGTTCTTAGGTTACTGCTAATTTTGAAAATGTAAGGCAATTTCTGGAAATTTTCATGAGCCAATATATGTTTAATAGAAATTCATTTGTAGTTGCGTGACATCATTGCTTCCTCTTGGGCTCCATCCGTATCAAGAATTTGGCGACCAAATATAGAAGACTGAAGAGTGTTTTTTTTCTCGGGCTTATGTAATGAATGATGATTTAGATGACTGCGTGAGATATTAGTGGTTTATCTTTGCCGTTCACTCTGCAATCAGGGGGAAAAGAATAATGCCTTGGCAGAATTCAACCCCACATCGTGCAGAGCGGTCCTTATAATGGACGCCTGCGTATTTCAGATCAGCTGACTTTGTTTAATTTGAAGTATTACAACAACGTCTTCCTAGAACTCAAGGATATCCAAGAGTTATTGCAATATTTACAACTATTTTTCCCCATGGTTATTCCATTCAGAAAAAAAGTTAAAATCACAATTGGAAGGTCATGAGTTATTGTATAAACTTTTAATACTATGCCTGATTGGTCAAAAAGAGGAAATAAAACATCAATAATTCCAAACTGGCATCTTTATTTCTTTAATGGCGCGTAAATCACACGTACGTTCGCGATTGCGTTCAGTAGAGGCTGTGCGTATGCACGTTGTTTATAGAGGAATAAGTATTGCTTCATTTCACAATTCAGTCATCTCAAATTTTTTAGTTAAATGAAAAAATGTCATATACTTATACTACCAAAACATTAATGAAGATGTCCACAAGGCAGTATTTATGTGTAGTAAAATACTTTGACTTTTATCACAAAATGAAAGGTTCAGCTAGGGTCAATCCATTCTCCTGTAAAATGCTTTCGTTTTAAATGAGTCATTTTTCTTCTGTATCAACGTCTCACGAAATAGAGGAATCATATTTCATATTTTGTTTTCGCTTTTCTGTGTCTGGGCGTAGAATATGTCGTTGGAAATGAAAAATTAAACATAAATATCATCCAATGATCTCATGATAGTATATTTTAAAGAGCCTTGCCTGAACAGCACTATCGTGGCAGAAAAGTGTCAGCTAGGCCCTTTCCGTGTATTTGAAGTCCCGCGGAGTCCACTGCACGTGGACAGACGGGCGGCGCTGCCGGACGGAGCGCACTAGCGGCGTGCGGCTCAG